ACACGTGATGTGTCAAATTAAAGGCATTGATAACTTCTATCACTTTACCAAGTTTCAATAAAACTGATCAAAAGAATGATACTTTGCAGCCATTACGTAGAACCCTGCGTATAGAGTGACCTGGTAAGCATGGGGACCCAAGCTTCTGCTTTGAAAAAAAACCTGTATGCACAGTTGCACATCTACACAGTCTCCAACATCCCTGTGTAGTTTCATTGAAATCAGTCAACATTAGGAAAAGATCAGATAATAATGGGTCGGATTTTTTGTTACCCCAGCAACCAAATGACATTTAATGTCTTTGAAAATAGTACCATTGTAATTGCCTTCCTTATGGTCACTAAAATTCCTTTGTAGTTTCACTAAAATTAGTTCTCAGGTATAGGAGAAATTGTCTGCCCAAAAATTTCCGTATAAACCTGTGTACAGTGACTTGGTTACCATGGCAACCCAACTCTCTGTAAAAAATAACCCTGTTTGCACATCTACAAATGGTGGCTAACATTCCTGTGTTGTTTCAATGTAATTACAAGCTGATTCAAGTATACCCCTATCGCCATCCCGCAAACTGCATTGCAGGGGGTATAACAAACACAAATATCTATGACTCTTTATAGTGTAGTATATAATGGCCAATGATTTCCACTTCACAACCGTTAGAAAATTTAGGAAGAAGCTAGATTTGTGTGGTCTAGTTATGCACTGTTAATATATTCTCCCTTCACCAAGACATCTGTGTTTGATTCCCCTAAAGGACATGACAAGATATGGGGGGGGGGGGGTCACCTGCTGGAAAATGTGGGTATTTCCCAGGTGCTCTGGTTTCCTCCCACAGTAAGACCCCTCATACACATCCATCTTGGACAACAAGGATAATGAATATAAGCTGGTTGCTTGCTTCACAATTATCATAAAATAAAGTTCATATATATACATGTTTCTAATATTTGTCTGTTTTTCCTTCTTTCAAGTGAATATAGCACCATAACTCTACAACGGGTAGTCTACATGTTTGTAGGGCCTAAGTTCAGTATTTAGTTCAAAATCATCACAAGAGGAGTTTGCATACAAACTGAAATGCTGGGTGACAATATTTACCAGGTATAACCCACTCAGGCAGAATAATGAGTTCTCAGAAGAGGTTCATGATGATAAAAAAAATCATACAACCTTATTTCAAGCAACATAACATAATCTACTGCTGCCTCTCAGTTGAATAATGCATTTCTTGATCAAGTCTGTGCATGCACTGTCTTAAAAGTGTTTTTAAAATGTATAGATGTGAAGAATAGTGGTGTAACTTTGTCTCTTCCTGTACAAATCAATGTCAGGGTGACAAAAAACAAGATTTTTATCTACACCTGGTTGTCTAAAGGTGTAAAGTGTATAAATTATTTTGTTTTGTTCCTAGATTACACAGATCAATGATAAGCTGGTTAGAACAAGGAACACAGTGATCTATTAGCATAATGTACATAATATCTGTAGTCTTATCATTCAGAGTGATTTGTACTCTACAAGTAGGTAACAACAGGATATCGGGTATCTTCTTACAATCAGTCTGATATTAACGGAATATGTCTCATCCATTAATCACCTCCATGTATAATCCAAGGATTTAGGTGATATGTAGTCCGTCAATCATTTCCTTGCCAACTTTCCAATGTGGGAGATGGCGTGCCTTCATACCTTTAAATCCCAGGATATTGCATTTGTAAATCAAATAGTCTGCCAATCAAGGGAGAAGGGAGCAAATCATTGAACATTGCTATTGGATTAAGACCACCATTGAAACCATCTTGGTTTGAACCAAGCCGATCAAGATTAATCCAAAGTGGGTACATAGGAAGGGACCGTTTCTTTTCAAAATTATTTTACAATGAATGTGAAATATAAAATGCACAGTAATTCTATCACACGGAGTCTGAAACATTCTGTAGAATTATTCCTGAAAGTTTTCCTTGTGTTACTTGGTGAAACACCAATAGAGTTAGGAGTTTTATTTACAAACATGTAAATTTCTGAGAAACTGAGAAAAATTTTGGACAGATTTTGATATAAAACCTAAACTGAGAGAGTTGTAGTCGGAAGGAGTCGTCCCCACGGCTAACAAATTAACCAACCTATGCACGGACATGCCCAAATTCCATTTAGTGTAAAAGTGAACCTTTTTACCTCAGAATGTATTACTTTTGTGACATTCTGATCAAGCTATTTATTGTGAAGCAGTCTGATGATCAAAGTCTACATGTCATTATTTCAACATTCCTGGTCACTCCTTTATGTGCATACTTGTTCAAGCATGCCTTCTCTGCCACAAATTTACAAAGACTTGAACTGTGATATTGTTTTACTTGGAGTCAATTCATTGTTTTTATTCAAACCAACAGTCATTTTTAATTCACTACAACTACAAATTTAATTTCTAGTTTATTTCTGTGATGTCAAATTAGTGTACTGTAGAAAAAATATTAAAATACCTCAGATTATCATCATCACCCAATGTTTTATAATAGTGAATCATGGTCCTTGGACATCACTGATGATATTGACATAAGTATTTCAAAGCATATTTCTGTGTTTCAGTAATAATTCTATCTGGTTTCTATCAACTGCCTATGTTTCAGAATGTCTTGATCTATCAAGCAGTTCAGAACCGTCTAGATGAGAAAGTTCATCCTTTGAACGATTAGACCTTCTCTGTTCATATATAGCATGCATCCACAAACATTGCACATTCTTTGATTCAAAGAAAAAAAATACCATCCATATGAACTATAAAAAGTTAATATGTGAGATTCAAAATTATGCTAGACAAAAGTCAGATGTTTCATCATAATGTATCTGCCTATGTTAATTTAGTACTGACATCTACTGTGAACAATTATGTATTGACCAGTGGCCAGAGACATTCTGTCATTACTGATCTACTACACATGTTCATGTATTAATTCATTCCCTGATGATATAAGTCAATTACCTGAAGCCTATCTAAGCAGATTGTATGATGGTCAGTATAACCTTCTCTTCTTGTAAACAGCCAAATCTATTGCAATTTATGTGTGCAAGACCTTGTGGACAACTCATGTATACTTCAATCCATGTTTACCAGTAAGCTAATGTGTATTAGTACTTCATCAGTTAATTAACATGGCTAGTATAAATACGACCACCTTTCTAGCAAGTATGGATCGGTTCCTGACGGCCAGACAGGAGAGAGGCTAGTTTCCACCGGCGGGACACCCGCTTGATAGGGCTTTTGCCTGAGCCAGAATATCTCCACTTCTAAACTTTAATATGGTGAAGGATGAAATTTAACAAGTTTTTCATTTTACATGTCCAGTGGTGCATCAAACAAAAAAAATGCTAGGAAATTCACCCCATGCCAAGTTATTATCTGTTATATCTTAGTGTTGTCATCAACTGAGACAGATAGACAAAGGCTTCCTAGTTCACACAGACAGGCACGGGCTTATCAGTTCAGTCACATTATATAACGGTGTTCGATTATGAGACCAACATAAAATTGTAACTCACAAAGGTGCTTGAATTATTCTCTGTATCATATGTTTAAGTTTCATTTAAGCCTTTCAGATGAACATTTCAAATCTGCAAAGCAGCTTCCGAGTAGAAATATGCAGAAAAGGTGAAATCTTATATGTGAAAAAACAAAAATGTTTTCAATTTGCAATGAAATAATTTGAGTCATCACAATTTTTCTGGGTTAGGCGGGTTAAGCTAAACCAACAAGTGGCTTCAGTGGTCCTCCATTACCCACAAACACTCTGATATCACACCATATCCTAGAAAGGTAGTGCAGTTTGAAAGATGACAAAATACTTCAACATTACCACAGATTTCTTCATGTTTTACTATCATTGCAGTACTGTACAACATGGACTGTTAACTCTGACAGAATGATCGCTACACAGATTTCTCTAATTTAGATAAAGGGGTTTCATATGTTTAAAATTTTAAACTTCCAGAAGGAAAGTGCCAATACATGATTGACAGACCCTCTAGCTCAGATGACATTAGAATGTACTGTACAACTATGTATTAATATTCATGAGGGATTTCTTCGTGTTGAAGTCCTGGGTACTGAAAACCCATGAAATAATATTTAATGTAATAATAAACAGAATAAACTTGACATGGATGATTGCAATGGCGGATTTTGTAAGCAAGCTTTAACCATAAAATCAAGTACTGACCAAATTATGTATATTTTTGGAAAATCATGAAATTTGAGACTCAAGAAAATATATTTGTTTACAGTACCAAGAATATATGGATGGATATTAAAAATTATTTATAAGATTAAGCAAGATTAGGATCAAGCACCATGTTCTGAAACTGAAATTGGTTACTGAGAACCTGCGTACTGTGAAATTCATAGGGGAGGCAATTAAGTCTCCCACTGATAATGATACAGATCAATTATATATGACTGTATTTATAGATGGTGCATCAACCCACGTTAATAGTGACCTGCATATAACCTATACAATGTTTACAACAAGTCCACAATTTATCCAGGTCTCAGATTGCTAACTTAATAAGCTCATTAATTAATTAGGTATCTATTTACGGACAGAAACAATGGTCATGAGTGTGTCCCCACATATCTCAAACCACAGACAAATTTCTTATCCATATAAGGTCAGATTTATGGATTATGGAAACACTGACCATGAACAACTCCCCACATCACCTGGCCTTCCACATCCTTTTACGTCCACGTAAAGGTCAGATTTGTGGATACAAACAATGCCCAACCCACATCCTCACATTAGCCAGACTATTGACACATATGTAATTCATGTCTTAGATCTACACCTGTGGAGAGAAAAACTGACCATGAAGTGCCCTCACACTACACACGATTAGGTCAGCAGTTTCTGAAACAACCACAACAGGCTGGACCTTGGAGGATCAATTAAGAACTATTGACAAAACTAAATTTGGCACTATCTTGTTCTTATTTCATTAAACCCTACCTTCAAATGCATTGTCAAGTACACCTTGACCAAGATCCTCAAACACTTTACGCTGACTGGCATAGTTTGACCCAGGTGTGGCCTCAAATACACCATCTGCTGACTCCACCATTCCATCATGGGACCTATGAACAAACACAAGGACAAATTCTACTTCTGATAAATACTTATTCATTCCAATTTTATCAAGGCAATGTAAAACAAAGTTTATGTATTCAGTTACCAGATAAATAATGTATATCTGTTAGCACAGTGACTTCTTTTCAAGAAATTCAAGACTTTTCAAATAGGTTTTATGAATTTAAAACAGAAAAGCATTTGATTACAAAACTTACATAATTTACCACAAAGTAATTTACTTACCAGTAAGAATAATCAAATGAAAACTGGACAGGAACAATGTCAATAGAACCGGAAAAGAAAAGACAAGACAGTTAATGATGTTTCATGTTGAGCAAAACCAGTAACATTTTTGATCAACTGGAAAAAAGACACAATAATCAACATATTAATTTCGGAATGACACAGGTAAAAAAAGAGAAAAAAAACCTACAAAACAAGTAGAGACAAATTTATTGACTTAAATACAATACAGTGTTCATGATTGCTATCTCAATATATTTAAAGGGCTGTTTGTGTCTAAAGGATACAACATAAACATAAAAGATATGTTAACATTGAGACGCCAGTGGATATTTATCACAGACTGTGAGAAGCCAGGTAAACACCACAAACAGTTGAGAAAACATGACTTATTGGATTTTGAAGAAGTTGGAGTCAAAGTTTACTTGCTTGGTTTAACATTTATGTTAACATATAAACATTATAAAGACTATTTTATTTAAACTGAGCAAACAATCCAACAGAACTCGCACATCATAAGAGTACAGCCAAGAAATGTCTGTTGATGATCTACTATAGCATAAAACCATAGGGATGTACATTGTGAAGGAAATTTCACACATGCCATACACTATACATGAGTAATGTATGATTTTCCTATATCAGTGTACATGTTCCCAATGATAGGAAGGCCCGTCATATGCTTTTCAAAACAATTGAGGTCAAATGTTTTGTCATAGGACACAGCATGTGATCTCAGATTCTGACAAAAATATAAACCTACTCCAGGAAGGGATTGAACCACACACCTCCTACATAACTTGAATGAGCTATTTTGACCCCAATGCAGGTTACAACATAACATATCTATGTCTAGAGAGATTACCTTTCTGATTCTCTGTATCTATTTATTATGAAGGGCTTATCCTACCTATCCTGCTGAAATCCCAATGATGAAAGAAAACTGTGATTCCTATGACAATCCTGCCATTCCTTCACTACGTTAGTTTAAAAAAAGGGCAACAACTCTGTATATATTGTAAATAAGGCCCAACTTAATACACTCAATAATCACAAGAGGCAAATCAAACAAAGTTGGGTAAATAAAGGTGAAAGAGTATCTGATATACACCTTTGCCAATATGCTACACATGGATCAACTGCAAGACCAAAAGGATATCTGGAATAATGGTGGAAGTTAGGTGCAGTATAATGTACTATGATAGTGGCGGTAATATGCAGTATAATGTATTTAATCATTCAATGGTTAAAATTCCAGGAAGTGAATGATGTATTTGATATTTGCATGATCTTCTTGAAAGATCTGCTCTTAAAAGTCTCCTAATAAGACTATTAATTATCTATCTGAGGGAAACTCCTTGGATACATATTTAATGTCCATAACAGTGTTTAGAATAAACTTAAAATGAAGAAAATACATTAAATCCGTCTCTGAGGATAGACTTTATAGGTGGGATATGGTAATGAGCTGGGAATGGAAACGAAATGTGTACATATATCAAACTTCTCTTTTAATATACCATCTCTTTGAAAAAGATATCACTATCACAAAATCCTGTATGTATGGTTTCTGGTTTTACTGACAGAGTGACCATGGCAACGAAAACTACTAATTGGATCTTATGACATAAACTTGTGACATTACATAAACTTTGACAATTAAGATAGTATCTATGGCACTAGGTTACAAGCAGAATACACAATACTGCGATTGTATCTTGTCTAAGCTGCAAATGTACCTTTTTCTGGTGTAAAACCTCACATCTTAAGTTTGATGTACACAATGTAACTTTACACACAAAAATATTGCTAAACTTGTAAAATTCAACAACAAAGTGCTAAGTGAAACCCAGAGCTACCTAAATGAACCTACATTGTAGATATACCATTATAACATATAGCCTAAAAGGTGATTTTCAATTGTACTTTGATATAAAATTATTTTTTTAATATAAAAAGAAAATTTCATGTATAACAGTGGACCAAAGTATGAAATTTAATCCTATAAAATGAAATATGTAGGGGACACAAAGTACCAGCATGTGAATCCATCTTGTAGCTTACAGAGCTTATAACTGTGACAGACATATCAGGACCTACAGGACAGCTGTGTATAACATACACACAAAACTTACAACAATGAATCCATTAATAAGTTTCTCCACAAATACTAAACTGATAATATCAGAAAGTATTGAACAGGGTTCACATTACATTGTGTAGGCTGAATGGGTTATTTGGACCCTTCCATGCATATATGGTACTTCAGATATCATTATGAAAACAGATTCAAATGTGTGAATATGACACAGTAAATGGTCACTTAGATATTTAGAGATAAACTTATGTATGTACAATAGAAGCTGATCAATTAACCACAATTACATAGCAAACACAATGTATATGGCTGTATACATGTTTCTAGTCATGTGGTCTGGTTTACTGTAGTGAGGTAACAAGAGGCCCAGTGGGCCTGCATTGTTCACCTGGTATCAACTATTCAATACTGAATTTCGCAAATACATCTTGTAATGCATAGTTGAACCATCAAAGTGGATCAAAATCAAATTATATTAAACAATTTTTTAAGAAATCTAATAACTCTCCAAGTTTAAAATTATTCATCTAAACCTTAATAATTTTAATGCTCAACACATAGTAATTAATTACCCTATGACCTTGAGTGTGGCCCAAGGTAATTTACTTTCACAAACATCACACTGCTCAATGCAAAGCAGATTCTTGACAATTTTGGACATATTTCCAAAAGAAGCCTTTGGAGCATTTAAACAAAACTGACACCTTTGAACCTAAAATAAGTAACCTTTGAACCTAAATATAAGTAAAGGTACAGATCTATAAACTCACTTTGGACAAATCTTCATTCTAGGGGTTTTGGTGAATCAGGAGAGTCTTCAGAATATTGTTACAAATTTGACCCCTGTGATCTTCAATATTGGTCAAGATCAATTTGTTTAAAAGGATTAATTTTTATGGAAAAGAGTCTATAATTGTCACTTCCCCAATTGTCTGATTCCGACAATAAAATATATTTAAAGGATGGAAAAAGTAAATGAAAGGGATGATGAACCTGTCAAAAATAAGCACAAGATCTCTAAGCCCTTTGGACCAAGTGAGGTAATGATAAGAAACGTTGTTCTAAACTGTGAAGTTGTTGAAGCATTTATGAATGTCGGGTTTGGGGACCACTGGGAATGACTAATAGACCTAAAATGGTGATGATACTTAGATAAAATCTCATTTCTACATGTACCATATGTAGGTCAGGTACATACACTCTATAGCTAAGGTAGGTATGTATAGATATTTGTGTAAATGCCTTAATCTTTTATTGATAATCAGTTTCTTTGATGATAATTAGTTATACTGAGTACAATACGCTGATGTTTTAAAAATACATTTCTTTTTCACAATAGACTAATAAAACGGCTCCAAATAATAAAAAATGTAGCCAGAAAGGGAAGTTTTCACTAATATGTGGATCATTATTGATTTCCACCCTCAGAACTGTGATCTTTCAGTAAAATTGTCATCCCTTGATAAAAATCTGAAATATACTTTTTTGGGTTGGGTAAATGAATATAACTTTTTAATGCACAATTGTGAATTTGTTTTTATATACATACTGCTTACAGTAAGGATACAATTTCATTAATTATGACCATTTTTGCCTGAATTGTACAACATCAGATTTCTATAGTTTACTTCTTTTGTGAAAAAAGAAAATTTGATCTACACTTGAAAGTTATTCACTTTCAAAATTTAACTGTGTCTGAAATTGATATCTATGTCTTCTAAAGTTGGTATCTATCAGAGTCAATCTGTTTGTGTAAGGAAAGATTAAAATTGGCATTAATACTGTCCACAGGAAAAGACAACACTTAACTCAAAATTGTGTTATTATAATACAGATTACAAACCAACAATACATCAGGGTTGTTTGTTACAATCTTGATGTATTCATGTTTTTTAATTTTTGAGATAATGAGTTAATTCTTAGTGACATGTAAAGGACCCAAACACAGGACTATGAAAAATACTCGGAAGTTTGAAAATTTCATCATTGTACTGAGCTAATTGTCTAGAATAATAATATGAACTACACTATCTATTCAAATAAGCACAAAAACTAGTTCAAACATTTTCATTTTTTTAAAATTAGGCCAGCTCATTGTAAGGCTTATATTGAGGTGGAAAACTCTGGTAAGTAAATATCTTTTGAATGGTTAGTCATATGTCTGTGGATAATTCTGATATTTCAAAACCTTTAAAACAGTAACATTTGCCATGATCTTGCATATTGAGATATTGTAGATATTGTAGTTTATTGACCTAAAGGAACCAGGCTTGGTGAATCAACAGCGAATGAGACATAAATATGGAGACCGTTTTTTCGTTCCCTGATGAATGGCACATATGCAGAAATCTGGAACTAGAGCGACTGTTTCACACATTTATCATATCTGAAGCAAAATGAGGCATGTTTTAGTCAGCCATTTTGTAATCTTGAAAATCATAGACAACCAGCTCCACAAAAGTATCCCAGATTTGTTTGATAATAGATCTACACAAGTTCCAAATTAGTCTATGTCTAAATGAAACAGTTTAATGGCTCTGAAAGAAAAAGAGGATTTTAAAATGACAGTTTGGGGCAGTTAAATGCACCAAAAATCAACATCTCCAGACCTGATAAACCAAAAAAGTAAACCTTGACGACATCACAAAGAAAATATCAAACAGTGCAATCATGTCTGGAAAACCTCCCTGAACTCATTGCTGGGGTTGAAATTTGATAAAATAATTGTTGTTTAATTTCATTTCAGTATTTCAAAAGAGCTTAAAAAGGATTTTCTTTTTGTCCATTTCAATACCAGGGCAAAACAATTTTGGATTTTCTTAAACAGAATGAAATATTCTCTGACATATGCATAGAGAAAGAAGATTCATCAAATATGCAAACAATAAATGAATTTCAGAATCAAGAATAGTATATACTTGATTGTGGACATGTTCTATTGATGTAACCAGGTTAGGGAGTCAATACCATAACAGTTACTGATCACACTAAGGTAAAACATTTGTGACTAGTTAAGACCACATTCAACTGTACTAAACAAGGGTCTTTTTCAATATTTGTAGACCTAGTTTACCATCTACAATATGGATACCAGTCTGTAGGCTAATTTACAACTTATAATGGTTGTCACAAGTCTGTAGCCTTATTTACAACTTACAATGGTTGTCACAAGTCTGTATGCTAATTTACAACCAAATTACAATGGTTGTCACAAGTCTGTAGGCTTAATGTACGACCAAATTTACAATGGTTGTCACAAGTCTGTAGCCTTATTTACAACTTACAATGGTTGTCACAAGTCTGTATGCTAATTTACAACCAAATTTACAATGATTGTCACAAGTCTGTAGCCTTATTTACAACTTACAATGGTTGTCACAAGTCTGTATGCTAATTTACAACCAAATTTACAATGGTTGTCACAAGTCTGTAGGCTTAATGTATGACCAAATTTACAATGGTTGTCACAAATATGTAGGCCTAATTCATGACTGAAATTACAATGGTTGTCACAATTCAAGTAGACCTAGTTAACAGAATATCATTTCTATTATCATTGAATCCCTATTTTAGATATTGAACAATAGAAATAGATTTATATTGAAATTTTTATGAACTTTTATTAAAACTACTCTTTGCAAGGAAATAAATTCATCACACAAATCACTGACTAAATTCCTGTGCCAGTTTTATTGTAGGATTTGAAAAAAAAAGAAATCAATGCTTACCTTTTTTGGCTCTTCATCTGAAAAACATAAATAAGGACTTCATTAGTAAATAAATAATTGATCTTATTATTAAATTTTCAGCCTTGAATTGTTGTCATAAGCAGAAAAACATCACAAGAACATGCAATACAGAGTTCCAGATTGGTCTTTAGAAAGAAAGGATTAATGGATTAGTAAAATATTGTCTGCAGACAGAGTAAGGGATAGACAGATATCCTAATTATACTATATTCCTAACTCTGCTGTGGAGGATAACTATTGATATATTGACTTAACGGTTTCAAGCACTCTAGATACACATATGTACCTTCCATATAAAGGTTAGATACTTATCATCAAAGATGTCTGATGTCAGATGTTTAAACATGTAATTGTATAATGCAGAAAAAACATGGTACAAACAATTAGTATAAAACAGTCAACTCTATTCAAGCATGCTTATAACCCTCATTAATACCAGATACAATTTTTTTTCTGAATAGTCAATAAAGGTTATATCATCACTAACAACTGTGACAAAACAGATGAAGTAACCATACCGACCAGAAAAACCTAATTACACAAGAACAAGACAGATTTTGAATATTTCTAAGATATTTAATGAGACAAAATATTCTGAATATACTGAAAATCTGCAATATCTACAGTCAGCTAAACCACCTGTTGTTCTGATAACAAAATTTAAAAAGGGAGACACCAAACGTTTGTTACACTCTCCTACATTGTAGGATGTAGGGTAAGGCAAGGAGGGAAGAGGAAGGCTTGATACACCTTTATGTACATTTTCTTACCTGGTAGAATGGGGGGTGGGGCGGAAGGAGCAGGGTAGGGGGGAGAGAGGCATCCACCTTTAGTTACCTCTTCCTACCTTGAAGGATGAGGGGTGGGGTTGGACACAGATTCTATGTGTTTAATATCAATAAAATGCTCTGGTAGTCACATAATACTTTACACAGGACTAGTCAAGTAGAACATTTCAATGACAAGGATACATACAAAATGCATAAGCTGAAAGTCATTAACATTTTGAGCACCAAGATACAATGTAGCACAAGGTCAATATCTCAATTATATAGAAATGAGGCCAAAGAATCTTTTATATTCTAAACAACATCAAAACGCTTCCCTGAACTTAACCCTTTCTATGAATATTTATAAATTGTCTTTTTCAATATCTTATTGTGATTCTGAAGTAGTTAGACACCTGATAACACTATTGGGTTGATTCTGATCACACTATTGTAAAGTTTTGACAGACACCTGATCACACTATAACACTATTGGGTTGATTCTGAAGTAAAGTTAGACACCTGATCACACTAGTGGGCTGATTCTGAAGTAAAGTTTGACACCTGATCACACTATTGGGTTATTTCTGTAGTAAAGTTAGACACCTGATCACACTATTGGGTTGATTCTGAAGTAAAGTTAGACACCTGATCACACTATTGGGTTGATTCTGAAGTAAAGTTTGACACCTGATCACACTATTGGGTCGATTCTGAAGTAAAGTTAGACACCTGATCACACTATTGGGTCAATTCTGAAGTAAAGTTAGACACCTGATCACACTATTGGGTTGTTTCTTAAGTAAAGTTAGACACCTGATCTCACTATTGTGTTGATTCTGAAGTAAAGTTAGACACCTGATCACACTAGTGGGTTGATTCTGTAGTGAAGTTAGACATCTGATCTCACTATTGGGTTGATTCTGAAGTAAAGTTAGACACCTGATCACACTATTGGGTTGATTCTGAAGTAAAGTTTGACACCTGATCACACTATTGGGTTGATTCTGAAGTAAAGTTAGACACCTGATCACACTATTGGGTTGATTCTGAAGTAAAGTTAGACACCTGATCACACTATTGGGTTGTTTCTGAAGTAAAGTTAGACACCTGATCACACTATTGGCTTCTTTTAAAAATAGAATACTCCCATTAAAGTTGATTCTGGAGTACAAAGAAATACCCTAATCCTGACACTTGAAATAGAGTACCAGTAGAATTGGACACAGTTCTTCTTCCTCGCTGATAATGGAATGGAAATTAAACAACCTTCCTCTTGCTTATTGGACATTTCTTTTTAAACATATTCATTCTAAATAATTCCCCCCACCCCCACAACTTACAAATTAGATCAGGGAGGGAAGACTCTATCCATCTCTGGATTGTTAGGATATGTAATTGGAACAATTATCTGAGAATTATCATTTTTATGATCAATACCTTTCCTCATGAATTACAGTAAAGTCTCGTGCTTTTTATTTTCCAATTACAGATTACAAAAAGTCTGATATGTGTATAGTATAATAGCGACCCTGCTAAGTGCTAGACATGGTATACTAGTTATACTGAAAAGGCTTCTACACAGTCCTGTTAGTTTTTAAAATACGATGTATTGATATATTGGTTAGCTTTGTATGGATTATAGAGTGGCGGAGTTTGCACTGAAGTGTATAACAATACCTGGTGTGTCTGTACAAATATCTGCTGGGTGGGAATATGTACCCAGACTAGTGTTTATCGTTACAACAACAAACAGAAGTATGGTCAATAATTACAGTACACTGATCCTGTAAGCAAATTTAAAACAAATTTTTACTTTATCATGGTTTTACTGCTAGGCTAACAGGGAAAGTTTTTTATACATATCGACATGAATTTTACATAATGTATCCATACTTTTATTTTACATATGGAACAGGTTACTTTCGTGCATAGAGATCTATATGTTAAGACATTACATGAATTTAAATTTAATTTTAAACTGACTTCTCCAAAGTCCACCTGACTGTCATATCAGAAGAACCTGTTCTGAAAGACACCCTTTCTGTCTCTACATTGTCTTCAGAGACCAGCAATCCATTCCTTTCATTACTGAAGTAAATAATGCCATATAAGCCTGCTCTTCCTGTTACAACAGTAGAACCTGCTCTGGGATACTTATAGAATCTTTCATCCCCTGACAAAAGTTCCCCCATATACGGTAGTTTGTCTTGTCATGAGAGACCACCCACCCTTATACAGTTCATCCTGCATTGAGAAACCGTCCACCCTACATCCTTCACCCTGTGTTAAGAGACCACCTGTACTACATTTTTCATCCTATGTTGAGACCATCCTTGCCACATCTTTCATCATATGTTGAGAAATCACCCTTACTACATTTTTCATCCTGTGTTGAGAGACCCACCTTTCCTATACATGTTATCTTATGCTGAGAGCCCACCCTTGCTACATCTTTCATCCTGTGTTGAGAAATCACCCTTACTACATCTTTCATCCTGTGTTTAGAGACCACCTTTACTACATCTTTCATCCTGTGTTGAGAGCCAACCCTTCCTACACAGTTCCTTCATAGTTTATCCAACCTTCAGAAACTAGCCCTTGTTTGTATAACCTAAAATCTTTACACATCCTGTCACTCTTATGCTGGATAAAACATGTCATTAAGCATTCTAAAAAAAATGTTAAAAAACTTGTCAAAAAGTTTTGAAATCATTATATTACTGACTGAATTCTCTGAAGTAATTTGATCAAATCTGAGGTTCACTTCTAGAACCAAAGAAATGAAAATACTTAAAATTCAATAAGTTGAATGATCCCAATATCTTAATTTTTGTTATCTAAATTTTGAAACAAAATTACTTAATTCTTAAAATTTTACCTATAAATTCTTCATGTTTGCAATTTGGTGCAATAAAAACCCACATATGGAAAAGGACAAGTTATAAGGAGGATGAGGACAGAGCAGGTTGAAATGTCACTAACTTGACTGGGATACTATTGGATGTAACCAGAGACATAACTTAATGTCAATATTTTCAAACATTAAAATTCCCAAGTTTATCCTTGGACCCATATCCTAGGACATTTACTGTTATATCTATTGAACATAGAGCATCAATATCCTATCACTGGCGATCAGATCCACACCTTATCTATCCATAATGTGTTATTTCTGACTTATCTCAACAGCGGGCTGTCTCCGGACTTTTATTACACCGTTGAATTATTAATGACATACTATTACTCTTAGCAATCTATACAAATAGAGTTGTCTGTCCACCCTCCAGTAAAATCCCTCCTACATATAGATTACAAAATTACTTTCTCTCTCGCCCTACTACAAGCACCATTACGTTTAACCCTATGTATGTATGTATATAGATATAAATTAAAGTGCTTTGATCCTGATGTAAACCTGTCCATAGTGTTGAAGAAGTCTCCTTGGTAGGCTAAGTTGCCCCTACAGATAGCAGGGTGTTAGACTGCCTATGTTAAGTACCTCTCAGTTGCCATACAATATCACTAGAATTGTAACTGTGAGGTTTTTAACTGATATGATTGACTGTGTATAAAACTTAAGTTTAACACATTTCCAAACTTTTCTGTTAGAAACATCACTGGAAAGTTTCTGCTATGTACTCTAAGCTCTGATTACTGAAAAACACCTGAATTTCATGAATACTTTATTTCACAATTGTATCTCTTTAGAGATATTCGTAAATACATGGTTTCATGAAAGCTGATCTGGGTATGACTAAATTCACGAGGAATGAGCTATTGGAAATATGGACTCTGCAAGACTGTGATATTGTTTACCAATAGCTTCATATTGGCCACCATTTGTTTATGAGTCATGTGATTAAACCTGGAAATGTTTTAAAGGGTAACATATTTGTCAGCTCTGTTTGTGATTACATAATGCAGTATTGTCTATAAAAGTTCTGATAATAATGGAATCAACATGGACACCATCCTGAATGATTATATTTGTATAAATAATCTCGAAGGATTTGAATTCAGGATTGACTATCCTAGCTTATTAATATGAAAATGAATCTCGCGTAAAATATAAGGAATTTACAATATTATGGAAAAACATTTGTCAGTCTGGCGTTTTGCTAGTTTCATTCTGTTGTAACATGGGCAAAAAGTAAAAAGTGGGCTAAATTTTCAATAAAAACTGAAAACATATGTTTCGATGTAATTTAGGACAAATTTAACACTGGGGTAAAAATAATCGTTTGATGCAATTGCGAGGGTCAGTCTGAAGTGTGCCAAACTTGTACCATAATGCTGAAATATCAATGTTTCTAAACAAATTGCGATATCAATCGTTACTTACACATTATCAAAAGACTTTATATCTTATACAGTAAAAGATATGCTAACTGAAGCAGCAAAAGAAAATGAAGTTTTCCTAGCGATGGCTAGTGATGGATTTAGTAAAGGCTTTCTATTTGGGAAATTTGTATGAGCTTTTTCACTTGGTTCCATCAGTTAGTGCTAGAATAATATGATGAAACAGGACGTGTAGTATCTACCTGTACAACCAATTACCCACAGTGTAAACATTTAGCATTAACACCTAAACCACTAACCAAAGATCTCTTACACAGGTACATGTGCCATTTTTTCTGATCTTATAACTATGACTTATCTTGGAGTGTGAAGATATGAATCGAATAATAAACTTCTAGGTCAACAAGACCATTTAAATAGCAATTACAGTCACTTCATAACAAAGAATTTTAAATCTACTATATGTATTATATAAATACTGTACTCTACCAAATAAAAGACATAGGCGCATATATAAATACTATATTCTACCAAGTAAATGACATGGGTGCATATACAAATACCGTATTCTACCAAGTAAATGACATGGGTGCATATACAAATACCGTATTCTACCAAGTAAATGACATGGGTGCATATACAAATACTGCACTCTACCAAATAAATGACATGGGTGCATATACAAATACCGTATTCTACCAAGTAAATGACATGGGTGCATATACAAATACCGTATTCTACCAAGTAAATGACATGGGTGCATATACAAATACTGCACTCTACCAAATAAATGACATGGGTGCATATACAAATACCGTATTCTACCAAGTAAATGACATGGGTGCATATACAAATACCCTATTCTACCAAGTAAATGACATGGGTGCATATACAATCAGTTATAATCCATCATGGATTATCTGTTAAAGTCAGCTGGACGTTTTGATGTACTCAATCGATTACATAATCAGCTGAGTTTGTGTTTAACATTCATAGAAAGTGAGTGCCATCTCATTTGCTGGAATATTTTCTTTTAAGGTAACTTGGATCTAAAATACCTAGCTTGCCTTAAATCTGCATTTTATGAATAAAATTGTTAATTGGCATCTTTATTATAAATAATATGAATTTGATTCTTGCTAAAACATAAAAAATATAAAGGGACTGATGACTATAAAAAAAAAATAGATTACAATCATTTACATCAGATGAGATTAAAGGATTAGATAATTGATTATATATCCTTTCAAAGTCCCATCACTAATAGGATTCCTTATCAATCACAAAATACCTCGAAAATGACAATTCTATACTACTGAATCGCCTCTTCATTTTGTCTAGCTAGGTGGTCGGTTTAATACTTACTTGGATTTTCTGGATTGGATATTGAGGTCATCTGACCTGACATTTTTATCATAAGGTGGGCCTTGCGATCCTTCTCCCTGCGAAACAAAGAACAATATAAATATCATGATAGCCATGAAGACATTTTGAGATATTCCTTTTTCATTTCTCTCTTCTTCAACAAGTTACATATATCACTTCTACTGACTAGTGACAGTTTTTAGCTACTTTGAAATGTAGTTTGATTAATTGATACAACAATTACTTGTGTCATATAAAATTTTCATCCCCACCCCCACCAATAAAATATTCATCTGGATGGCTATTTTACATTGGATAGAAATTCTATAGAACACCATTAAGCCTCTCACCATAACTGAGGACTTCCCTGATATCAGTATCTCAGTTTTTAATGACAGATTAAAGAATTAAAGTACAATTTCAATATATTTTATACATGCTGAAGTACTCTTTACATAAGGTATTGTAAAAAGTCCTTAGGACTTTTTGTGAACAGTGTTGGTCAATAGGCTAAAGATGACTGATGCTCATAATGTTACTGCAGTAATTTGATGGCATTTTTAATCCTCACCCAGGATCAAAGTATTTCTTGATCAAGTTTTGTGTAATTTATGTTTTTGGAATAGTTCAGTACAAATTACAATTGTTGTTTTACATAATAAATGGCCAATTTCAATTCAAACACAGCTGTGATTGTTCTTCATCAATTTTGTGGTCCAACAAGTTCACCCTTGCTCAAATCATAAATATATCAAATGTTATTCAGCCCAAGACTTTGAGTGAATGTTCCACCACACTGGGTACAGTGTGATGAAATTGAGACAAGACAGAAGATCCAGATATCCAGTACTTACCTTTGGTTGAAGGGCCGCACCCGGACCGCAACCTTTACCCTGAAATGAGGAAAAGAAAAATCAACACTTGATAAAAGATCCCTTCACTCTGGAAACAAGCGTGTACAAACGTAATAAGAAGAATTTACCCAGCGATCCATACTTGAAAGTGTCTGTGAACTTTATACAAGAAATATTGCTTCAGATTCAGAGTATATTGAAACAACATTTTATCAATTTTGATAACTATCCAGCTTGGTAATTTCATGGCCCTGGTGAGGTTATCAAGCTTCGACATTTTTAAATTAAGTATTATATTACTATCATATTTACTAAATACAGCAATCCAATATAGTTACCCATTTGTTTATTTTCTTTTTATAAAATCCTTCAGATCAGAGACCAGAGATATATATAGGGTTACTAACTCAAGAATACCATGCTGAATTATGTACTAACCTGAAGTTTTAAGTCATTTATCATCATTTTGCACTTTCTTTTTTTTTATGAAGATATGCCCATGAAGTAATAATGGTTTTTAAAGTAAGAAGTAAAATCATTTTGTTTGAATACTATAAAAAATTTGAAAAAATAACACTTTTATAAAAAATTTGAAAAAATAACACTTTTATAACCTGAAGTTTTAAAATGTCCATTTATCATAAACTGAATATTGAAATGCACTTTCATTTTGTAGCAAATGTAATTTTTATCATTTCATTTTTGTATGTCCTTTTTAAGATATGCCCATGAAGTAAAGATGGTTTTTAAAGTAAGAAGTAAAATCATTTTGTTTGAATACTATAAAAAATTTGAAAAATAGCACTTTTTAGCATGTCTTCAGTTTAGTAATAGCTTTGTAGGAAAACATTATAAAACTCTACGTGCTATAAAATGGATTTACCACATAGGCTTTGAGGGAATGCTTGAATTGAGCTTTATATTTTAACAGAATTAACACAATAATGTAAAGTCCCTTGCATATATGCATTTGAACATTTTTATCAATAATCAATGGCATTTCAAAGTTAAAGGAGAAGATTCATCTTTCCAATTCCTCTCTATCACTTAATTGCTAGTGTACTATACATGAACAAGTGTACACTTTCCATTGGGCAAACATCAGAAGCCCTTCAATCTACTCATGTAGTGTGAACAGAACTGAGAAACGCCCGAGATCATTTACAAATTTCCTAAAGACAATAATGCTTGAAATATTCCAGCAAACATAATAGTGTATTATACTGACAAGATCTCGAGGGGATGGTTCTACAAAGAATTTAGTCGATCAGCCGTCCAGCTCTGTTCTGTGTCATTCATATTTAATGTTAAACAATCAATCACCAATATTACTGTCGCTGATAGACTATACAACATAAGTATGATACTGACAGAAAAGCAGACCAAAGTTTCAGGAATAATAAAAATAGAAATGACACATCTATTGTTCTGTCTCAGTTGTATACATGTGATGCTTTAAATTGAACATGTTTAAATGGGTTTTTTTATATACTAATCAAAGCAATCTTGTTATTCTTTTATCATTCTTGTTTGTTGTTAAGATGGGATTCCTAGCTAAAGGCTACCTAACGGACCAGTATAAGGGAGGCCAATTGCATTCCATCCAGAGCAGTTATGGTGAAAGTTTTGCCAAAAGATACAACCATGACAGTCCAGAGTAGTCTGATTCTCTGAGCTTCCTAAGAAACACAAACCATGACTGGTGGGAAACATCAAAACACACACACACTGGATATTCATATGAGGTTACTGCACAGTGACACTTGAGATTACAACATGAATCTGCTCTCTTGGCTCTAAATGGCCATAAATGTCAATGCTAGCCATCAAACTGTACAAAAAAAGTTACAATTAGATCTCAACAGATTTCTTTCTTTCACTGACCCCCAACAAACCAGATGATACCTTCTTATAGGTTCCACACAATAACATCTGACCAATGATGATACCACTACAGGTAGGACTAAATATCATCATGTAATCGAAAAACACAAAATATGATATTTAACCCTATTTTTGCATTAACTTTACATATACCTATGAAATGGAATCTATCAACCTTGTTAAGAAATTTGATTAGGCAGTCACTTGAAGGCCTGTGACACAACAAAATATCTAACTCATTTGATCAGCTGCATTTCACATATACCCATGCAAGATCTTCTATTTGTACAAGGTAAACAGGGAAACTGCATATCGTACCATGATTATAAAGAAGAATTCCACATCTGAGCTACATTGATATTTCATAGGCAGTGTGACTAATTTAAAATATACAAGTGTTTATGTTATACTGACATCCTCTATATACAGGTGTTCATGTAATACTGACATCCTCAATGTATATAGTGTTATACTGACATCCTCTATGTATATAATGTTATACTGACATCCTCTATATATAGTGTTATACTGACATCCTCTATATACAGGTGTTCATGTTATACTGACATCCTCTATATATATAGTGTTATACTGACATCCTCTATATATAGTGTTATACTAACATCCTCTATATACAGGTGTTCCTGTTATACTGACATCCTCTATATACAGTGTTATACTGACATCCTCTATATATTGTGTTATACTAACATCCTCTATATACAGGTGTTCCTGTTATACTGACATCCTCTATATACAGTGTTATACTGACATCCTCTATATATTGTGTTATACTAACATCCTCTATATGTAGTGTTATACTGACATCCTCTATATACAGTGTTATACTGATGTCCTATATATATAGTGTTATACTGATGTCCTATATATATAGTGTTATACTGACATCCTCTATATAAAGTGTTATACTGACATCCTCTATATACAGTGTTATACTGACATCATCTATATATATAGTGTTATATTGACATCCTCTATATATAGTGTAATACTGACATCCTCTATATACTGTGTTATACTGACATCCTCTATATATAGTGCTATACTGACATCCTCTATATATATAGTGTTATATTGACATCTTCTATATATAGTGTTATACTGAGATCCTCTATATATATATAGAGTTATATTGACATCCTCTATATATAGTGTTATACTGAGATCCTCTATATACAGAGTTATACTGACGTCCTCTATACAGTGTTATACTGATGTCCTCTATATATATTGTTATACTGATGTCCTATATATATAGTGTTATACTGACATCCTCTATATACAGTGTTATACTGACATCCTCTATATACTGTGTTATATTGACATCCTCTATATATAGTGTTATACTGACACCCTCTATATATATAGTGTTATATCGACATCCTCTATATATAGTGTTATACTGACATCCTCTATATATAGTGTTATACTGACATCCTCTATATAAAGTGTTATACTGAGATCCTCTATATACAGAGTTATACTGACGTCCTCTATACTGTGTTATACTGACGTCCTCTATACAGTGTTATACTGACATCCTCTATATATAGTGTTATACTGACATCCTCTATATATATAGTGTTATACTGACATCCTCTATATATATAGTGTTATACTGACATCCTCTATATACAGTTTTATACTGACATCCTCTATATACTGTGTTATATTGACATCCTCTATATATAGTGTTATACTGACATCCTCTATATATAGTGTTATATTGACATCCTCTATATAAAGTGTTATACTGACATCCTCTATATACAGTGTTATACTGATGTCCTATATATATAGTGTTATACTGATGTCCTATATATATAGTGTTATACTGACGTCCTCTATACCGTGTTATACTGACATCCTCTATATATATAGTGTTATATTGACATCCTCTATATATAGTGTTATATTGACATCCTCTATATATAGTGTTATACTGACATCCTCTATATATAGTGTTATACTGACATCCTCTATATATATAGTGTTATATTGACATCCTCTATATACCGGTAGATATATAAAGCTCGATCAACATATCAGTATGTTAATCTAGACTTCATTACATTGTAGGTATTAGTTGACATGTCAGGAACAAAGATTGTCTGGATTACTTTGTTTTCATGTCTTCATTCTGTTTTATTTTCGCCGGTAGAGTTTATTATAGAATGGACTGTTACAAATAGTGTCAAATACACAATCCTTATGATGATTCTGCCAGCGTAACACGATATTATAAACTGTGTATTGGACTTGTCATCCAGCACCAAAGTACCCGGGTTACATAAAGTCATCGATGTCTTAGTTTCAGTCCTATAAAACACACAACTTACCCTTCCTCTGGCATGGCTGATTTGTGATAGTGCAATTTAAGTTATTATAGGTAAAATTCCATGTTTACATCCAGTAGTTGCTGTCACCGTTCTCACTATGCACTCGAGTGTCACAAGCCGTCTGCTAATTCCGCATGGATTTTCAACACCACCGAACAGCGTGTGCTATAGTCTATTTCTTAATTCGCTTTAAAATCTACCCCAGTCGCCAGTCGCTATCACGCTAGTCATCAGCATTGGATATTTACGTTTGAACGGTAACAATCCCTATTATGATGGGTACTTTAACACTAGTTCTATAAATACATTTTAAACATTCGTGATTATGATAGGTATTTGTACACCAGATCTATAAACACATATTTGAACACTCGTTTGATGAACGTCTTCTTTCGTTATTTTTTCATTAATTCTACGTGAAATATTACTGGAATTCTTTACCCGACCATGTTAAGAATAAGCCTTCTATTAATATACTTAAAACCTATTTCCGCGAAATGGTCCTCAAAGTTCCGACATTCTACTTTAACGGTACCAGATTGGGAAAGATACATCACGCCAGACTAAGAATGGAATGTAGTTCTCTTAAGTTCTATCTATACCAAATATAGTCCTCTCTGTTCGTGTATGCAATCTAGCGAAACTAATGAACGTTATCTTTTGCAATGTCGGCTTTTCTCTCATCTCCGTTTACGTATATTTAAAGAAATTAACCATCCACTCTCCATCGATCTAATAATGTTTGGGAATGATAATCTTACATATGATGAAAATACTTTAAATATTTTAATGTGTACAGAATTTTATCATTCAGTCTAAAAGATTTGTCTAGTAAATTCTTTTCATATATACAATGATACAATGATCCTTTGCATCCACCTACTTACCTCTCTTCATATTGTATTTTGGCACAGCAACTCCCCCCCCCCCCCCCCCCCCCCCCCCCCAAACACCCGCCCCTCCCCCGGCCCCCACTATCACTTCTCGTCTTAATTTACTGAAAAATATAATATAATATAATTATGTATTCCTAATACGCTTTTAAAATGAGTTCTTATTAACTGTCTGTATTTAAATTCCATATAATTCGCCAGTTACGCCATCATGCTTGATTTAGTTTAGATATTCAATGGAAAAGGATTTATATAAGTTGTTTAACTTGTCTCCAATTCCAATTCATCTGTATACTTTGCTTTGTATTATTCGCATGTCGTTATGGAATAAAAATAAAGTTTATATTAAATATGACTTATTACTGTTGTTGTCTCTTCGCCTACGTCCGATTTGCATACACAAGATATATAGTCTGACTAAATGAAAGGGGTGGAAGGGGACTTTTCTCTTTATTAATTCTTTTCCTCCTTTTTGGATGTTCAGTGCCAATTTTGTTTTAATATTGTCAATCTTTCAAAAATTGAAGAGCAAATAGCATGCGCTGATTTATCAAAATTTTCAACATAAAAATAGTTTATTACATGTGAGATTAAATGGATTAAAAAGTATTTTTTTAATTACAAATTTGTTTTAATTTCAGCATACGGATACATAAAACTGCGCACCTTAGGCACACAATACAGTACAAACGACGAGCAAAATCATGAACTTGACTCCTACGTCCTACTTACTGCGGACACCCGTATTAGCAAAATTGAAACGGACTATAGATTTTAAAATCCTGTTGCTAATATAATGGCGACGTAAACAATCCAATTTTTTATTGATGGCAACGTGACTGGTCGATATACCTATACGCTCGCAAAGTCCAACAGGACTGTCATAAAGTGTCGATTGTATCACTCTCACAAAGTGGGTTCATTTTCCATTAACCACTGATGACAGTTGTGCGATATTTCAGAGTCGTTAACAAAGCTAGACTAGATTCCCAGTCGGTATCATGTGTTAATTTCATTCAATTATCTTTGATCATCAAATCATTGTGATTATAACTACATTCCGTTTCCTGATGAAGATACTAGTAAGCTGATGTAAACATTGCTGCAAACTAAAAGAGGGGGAGATAGAGAGACACAGGAGCGTCGTATATATATATATATATATTCAGTTATGAACAAAACTGAATTATATTACATTTACATGTAGAGATATTAGAACTGAGGAGAGTGGAGTAACACCCATTTTGTTAATCCGCAATGTATATTTCGTTATCATTGTCATGAAATAATAACTGAAATTATAATTACGCGATAAAAAAATTTCAAGTGACAAAAATTAATATAATTAACGATATAAGTAATACTGGGTCCCGGTTGAAAATTGCTTGGGATGGCCCTAGTTCCTGTATGAGAAACATCATACTTTCATCGTAATGTGCATAAAACCCGATCTTGAGTCTCCAGATTCAATTACCTAACATTGCTTTATTTTCAGATCGATGTTATCGAGCCTTGGCTAGCAAAAGTGAAAGCATGGAGACGTGTTTCAGACAGTGTCATATATATGATATGAAAACATAATGTATATATATATGATATGAAAACAAGTTTAATATACAATGCACTTTTGTATTTCTATCAAATTACTAAAAAGAAATACATTTTGCCAGGCTTTCAAGAAAAAAAAAGAAGAAGAAACAAATTTGGAGTCCGAAATCAACCATTTTTGTTGCACACTTTTCAGTCCATAACGTAAGGTTACTCTGACATCCCAATCGATTTCTGATTGGCACAGCCAATGTAAAACGGTTCATTGTACAATACAAAAGTTACATATACGGCAAACGATAACATGGGCGAATTCATCGGATAATAGGCGGATTATGTGTTGAAGTTTAGTATTTTATTCATTTAGGAAAGTCCGAGTCCGAACGATCAATTTTTATTAGTACTGTTGTAAACAAGAGCAATTTTATTTCAGAAACCTACCCATGCATAATAAATTTGTCGTTCATTCCGTTAACACGTTTAAAGGGAACAAACTTTTATTCGTCAATAAAATGTTTAAAAGGATTTTAAACCAGACTTTAACTTTATATAGCAGGTACTGAACCATATCTTGACTTACATTTCCTTAGCACTTCACTATAAGAATAATCTGATCAGAACAAATTAATTCATTATTATAATGGTATTGGGCACAATGATTTACACATGTATATGTACCGATATTCATATAGTGACTTGAAAAATATGAGGTAAAAAACAGAAAAAAAGTTAGGAAAGTAAGATAAAAACTGGTTGGTAAGTTTTCAATGGTTGTGTTTCTGTTATGAAGGACTACATGAACTGTAATGTACCAGCGATTCTGACATTGATACCTGTTTAGTTTGGAATTAGGTGGAGCTTGATACCGCTGTTAGCTTCACACATGGTAAAACGGGTAGAACAGATGATAAAATTATATACAGAGGACGATGTTGGAAAGAAATTTACGTAATTTTTGTTTATTCTTTTTTTTTTAAAACTTTATTTATATTATTTGTCAGTGATCTAGGTATATATCTGTATCACGAAGAAAGCAATGCATTAACACCGGTTCTTTGGTGGAGTTTTGAAATGTTTTCAGCACCAGAGATAACGGTGACGGTTTGTATCCGATTGTTTTCCCCACACGGACAGATGGTCGTGCCGTAAACTGCAAGTCGTGTTTTAATTCATTCTGTTAGTGTCACAGTTAGGAATGTACATAGGTACTTGACCATCTTAAAATATCATATGACAATGACCATATCTATGAATTATGGGGCCATTGAACCTCCCCATCTACATTTTGACATTTCTTTTGAATCACTTCAGCTTTTCCTCAGTCGCCTTCTAGGTTTCAAAACTTATGCCTAACTTTGTAATGAAATATTATACAATACTGACAGCTGGACTTATGGAAGATGTGTATACAGAATGACATTTTTACAGCAGTTAGACTGTATATGGACTTGCTTCTGAGAAATACCCGGACATGGCCATTTGAGTTGGTAAAATGAAACGATTCCTTATACAGGTTAACATCATGTGGTCTGGATGAGAAGGACTGGCTTTCGTCTTTGCGGAATACATGAACTTCACACGTCAGTGATAAGACCAAAACGCTAAATGTCAGAATATGATCTGTAGCCTATAACGCTCCAGTTTCAAAATAATAGTGAAGAGCGGGATAGACTTATTCTTTTCACAATCGTTAATTTGAAATATAAAAAAATGTAGGACAGAAAGTAAATCCTTAACGTGACACGTGCAGATGCATATTTAAGGATAAGTGACTCGAAAGTCATTCAGATTGGTACTTAAAAGTCTTTATTTAATGTAAAGTGCAGCGAAAATAACACGTATTACCATTATTTCAGAAAACACTAATTGATAATGACAGATGAACACAGGTCGGAGATTTACCAGAAGTTAACGATAAAATCAAAGTTAAAACTTAAGCTTTCTTCTTTCGACAGGGAAATACTTACAGTTGTAGAACTATCTGGTCCGTCGACCTTTTCTGAATCACTGACATAATTTCAGTAACGTAAAGTTCAAACATGTGCTAGAGCTAGAATTATTCTAGTCAGTGGTTGGGACCATTTTTCGTAAAACAAAGTGCTGCATTGGTCCGAAATATGACCACACGCCATCGTATGATTGAAATAAGAAGGTTGCGTTAGTGTGACGTTACATAATACACTATTCGCGTACTTGTTTGGTCGACATGACCAGGCATCTACTTATAAGATAAACAATAAATTAATATTACCGATGATACAACGAATTAAAAAAAAACTTACTGCATGGCCCGTTTTTTTGTGGTGTCCATGTCGGGTGATTTTCCCCACCATTATAGTAGGGTCTGATCCATGTAGACGGTTAGTCCTTTAGCTGTGGTACCACACTCGGATTGAAGATATACACTGTTCTCGCAAGGAAATGTATGCATTATTAAACAGGACGTCTTAGAGGATAAGACTGGCCAATCGGCACGTGCAATGAGAGCGTGTCAGTCTAAATTAGGACTCATAAACATATAGATTGAATGTTGCAGATACATATATTTTTATGCACGTATAACTACTTTACCT